AATTGGAGATGGAGTCTTGTCAAGTTTTTTGCTCAGGCTGGCTTCAAACCTTTATCTTTTGGGTCTCAGCCTCCTGGGGTAACTAGGATACATGTATAGGCCACCAGTGCCCAGCTGGATTTTATATTGTTCTGCCAGATGTATTACTTATGAACTTACTTCCAGGAAAAGCAGAATGGACCACTGAAAAGGAAAACCATTAGGAAGTCATTTATAAAGAAATGAGAGCTGTGCACTGGTAGCCCACATCTGATACCCTTCCTAGCTACTTGGAAGGCTGAGAACTGGAAAAATTCCTCATCAACACACATCTATTAGGCCTATCCACAGCCCCTATACCACTTTCACTTGACAGTCAATGCTACCAAAACTTCTAAGCTGTCTGCTTCATTGTGGCTAGTTACCTGTGCACCTAAATACCTACACTAGGCACTTAAGGAACTCCAGAATCAGCCTTGGACTGGAGAGTATTGAAAATCCTTGGCAGGACCTAGAGATGGGGCTACTCTCTTCCAGAGTCCACAGCAAGGGGAATTAAGAATGTCTCATATAGAGACCACTAGATCCTGAGGCAGCTAGAATATCCATTCAGACTGAATGGCACTCATTGAGCATGTGTCCTATTCATGAAACTGTGCTGTCTCTACCCAGCCTGGTCTATTCCCCTCCATCAGCTAAGCCTACCTGCAAGTCACAGCCTGACACAGAACCACCCTCTCCCTGTATGTCACCAGTAGTCAGTCTCCAAAAAAAAAGATCACCCATTCTTCAGGACTACAGAGAATGGCATCAGTCTCTGATGAATCTCCTTAGTTGTCTTATGTTGAGCTCATATCCATCTGTTCATAAAATGTTTATGGAGGATCACTGTGTGTCAAGCACTGAGCTTGAGGATGAGCATAGCGAGGAACAAGTCATGGTCCAAGTTCATGGAGTCAGCCAAGTGAATGGCAATTAAGGGCTGAGTGCTCAAGCCCTGGACCAGCACATGAGCCACAGATCTGTGTGAATATTGTCACTGGTGGTCCCAGTGCAAATTCATCTACCACAGATGTCTGCTAAGGGGAAATCTGAGACAAGCTAGCAATATGAGTAAGTTACTGCTCAAGTGTTGAGCTAGAAAATCCCAACCATACAATATATTCAGAGTTTTTTTTCCTTCCAGTAATGGGCCTTGAACTCATAGCCTTCTGCTCACTCAGTTTGCTTGCTTGTGGCTGGTGTTCTATTATTTTGAGTCATGCCTCCAGCCCAGAATTTTGCTGGCTATTTTGGATATACGTTCTTAAGAGACTGTTCTGCTCAGGCTGACTTCAAATTGTGATCCCTCAGGTCTCAGCCTCCTGAGTAACTAAGATTACCATCATGAGCCATCAGCACCTAGCAAGTTACCATTTCCTGAAATCATTCAGTATGCCAAACCTGGGGGATGGGGATGGGACTGTTGAAAGGTCTCATGCTCAAGTTCTTAAGGTCATTAGGCTGGTGTCTACAGTTAAAATTCAGAAGAGAGCTTGGGCCTTAGGAAATGCTTCTGTTATTATCATGCAGGAAACCTAAGCATCAGGGGACAGATGAAGAAGCTTTGCCCTCTGCTAACTGAAAGACACAACAGGGAAAAGAGAGTTAGTTTGGCCATGGGGCTGCTTTCTGGATCTTGCTCTGGATACAAGAACCAGGGGGTGGGCTAGGGACATTGCTGCAGGGAGAGAAGGCTTGGCCTGTCTTTTGCTTGAGTCAGACTTATGAATTTTCCAAAGTCAGAAACATAATAGGAGCCCAGAATAACATAAACACAGAGAAGAAGGCAAAAGGTCTGCCAGGCAAGAGGCAGTAAGGAAACCCTCCCCTCCGCCTGAAGGCTGGCAGGGTGAACACTGGGGTGATGCCGGATCCAGGGAGCCCATGAGGATGGGAAGGGCCTGATCTGACCCTCCACCCTCTGGGGGACAATGTGTTACAAACATAAAATTCTCATGCTGTTCTTGACATTCTACTCCAAAATAAAAAGGAAAGAGCCTGCCATGGCAGTTCAGAACATAAAGCAGTGTTACTCAAGGAGCCAGAGAAAGTTACATTTGAGGACGAAATCAGGGCACCAAGTTAGTGTGTGCTATATAAAGTCGATTCCTGCTTTAGGGAGAATTTAATTTCTAGATATACAAGAGACCCACCTTGATGAAGACCCTCTTGTCCTTCTTGGGGTTTTTATTCTTAGGAAAGCATTCCATTCCCCAATCCCTGATTTATTCTATCTGGACTGCTTCTGCAAGTAGGGAGGGGTGGGCTCTGGCCCTGGGCGCAGTGAAAACACCAGGTACTGACCCCAGGCATGGGTTTAAAACATGTAGCTCAGCTCAAATGTTCTCAGTTCAATGAAAGAACAAACATTATAATTAGCAAATTTGCTCAGTTATATCAAGAAATTTATGTGAAAACATTTTACAAATGGGACACATACATATACATTTTCTTAATGTGTTAGCCCATGGACTCTGAACTGAACCAGTATTTTTTTCCATTGAAAGATGATGTACTTTTCTGCCTTTAATATGATTACTCATAGTGCTTAAAGCTGGTATGAGAGGGAAAATGTACAAAAAGTTAAAAAAATGGGAATTAGCATACATCTGTCTAGACCGACAAATCTGCCAAAACTGAGGTAGAGGTGGAGGTGTGGCTTAAGTGGTAGAGTATTAGCTTTGAACAAGAAAGCCAAGCATGAGCACAAGGCTGTGAGTTCAAGCCCCAGTACCAGCACACATACACATACACACACACACACATACACATACACACACACACATAGAAAACTAAGCACTCTCATTTTTGCATACATTGGTCATATCTTTGGAAATAAGGTTTTCATACTTATTCAAGACATTGGTGTTAGGGTTGGCTGTACGCAAATGAGATTCTGAAATAAACTTCCTATCTTAATATGAAAGGAAGTTCACAAAACAGGAACTGACGTTTTTCCCAACAACGACATAATATTTTTGTGTTCTTTTCTTAGTAAACAACAAAATATCTTTGTAAAAAGCATGTTCATAGAAAATGTATAAATCTATTCCACATGCCACTCATATGCTTAAAAAAGGGATGGATCCTACAGGGCTATTTCCCTACCATCTGGGCCAAAGAAACTAGATTTTAGTAAGAGGAAGCTATTCATTCTACTGGATAGAAAATACTATTTACTTTTCACTTGGAATTCCCAATTCTCTACTTTTTGTACAATTTCTCACTCATCCTGGCTTTATGCACTATGGATAATCACATTAAAGACAGAAAAGTACATCATCTTTTGCTGGAAGAAAATTTTAAACGCTGGTTCAGTCTAGGGTCTCTACTGTAGCACATGAAGATGACGTATTTCTAGCTGAAAATCAATGGCTCATGCCTGTAATCCTGGCTACTCAGTAGGTTCATATCTGAGGATCAAGGTTCAAAGCCAGGCCAGGCAGGAAAATCTGTGAGTCTTATCTCCAATTAGCTACCAAAAAGCCAGAGGCAGAGCTATGGCTCAAGTGGTAGTGTGCTAGCGCGAAGCGAAAAAGCTAAATAAGGGACAGTGCCCAGGCCCAGTACTAGCACACACAAAAATTTTGTAAAGAAAATGCATTTCTCACAGGAAAAAAATCTTACATAATATGGACCCTGGAATTCATACTTTTCACCACTAAATAAAACATGTATCACAACCAAAAACAAGATGATTTCCCAAGGGTTACATATCAATTACACATAGAAAACAGCTAATGCTGTTGATATGTCCTCTGAGTTAGGGGGAAAAAAGGATGCTTAGAATCTAAATCAGGCATATTAAAAAGGCACACTGTGAATAATCCCAGGAAAAGGCTTCACATACCGCTTGTACTATCTAATCATGCCAGAGTAAGGCAAAATGATACACAGCTTGTGTCTAAATTTCCTTTGATAAAAATCACAGCTATGATCCTAGAGAATGCAAAGTAAATGAATGGTATCTGAACATATTTTGAGACAGAAAAACCAAAACATAAGCTTTTGAGATAATTATCTACAGACATGAATAAAAGAAATGTAGATGAGAAGCAGGTAAGGTTAGGACAGCCCTGGAGGAATATAGGTGACTAGAGGACTGACTTCCATAGCAGATAGACTGACCTATAGACACACAGACAGAAAGACAGGTAGACAGACTGATCAATAAGAATGTTAAGCAAGATTCCAGGACCCTGTCATGGAGATCTACTGCTGAACTACTAACCAAGACCAAGTTTCCAAGCCTCCAATTTGAGAAACTGACTTAGTTACTAACACAATTTGAGTAAAAGTAGTTTTATGAATAGGCAAGAAAGAGTTGGAACCTAAAGACTAGAACAACAAGGGTTGTGCTAGGTTGTGATTTCTTTGAATACTATCATGCAGAACGGGTCCAGAAAATGAGGTAGCAGGCAGGAGTGAAGAGAGTGAAGTGAGTAATTAGGACTATAAGCATTAGCCACTGGTGCCTGGTACACACACACACACACACACACACACACACACACACATATAGTATACTATTAAGTACACAAAGTAAATTTCATGTCACACTGAAAGCAACTTAATATGCAAAAATATTTTCTGCTTTCCTTTGAACCTGAATTATTCTGGGCATCTATGCTGCATTTCAGGTAATCTCTATCATTTACAAGTTTCAGATTTCTTAGGTGCCTTTATATTGTACATTTCTCATTAAACAATCATCAGTGATGTCCCCCAGAATTTCAGTGTTAGTCAATAAGCACGGATTTTTAAGAATGTTAGGCCCCAAAATAGTTCTCTGCCTTCGGTAATTGAGGCACAATGGTATCACGCCTTTACTTCTAAATTAAATAGAAATGTTCACTCTGAACACTCTGCTTGCTAATATCACAGGGGTGAAGAATGACAGTGTCTTCAGGGAGCAGCCCTAGGAGCACTGACAAGGTCAGGGAGAAGCCACTTCAGTCAGAAAAGCCCCTAATTCTTACCTTTTCGGATGTCTTGTCTTGAAATGATGACACTGACCCGGGAGGAGGAGGGGCTCGGCGCTTCTTCATGTCTGATTTTGCAGACATCCCGGAGATGTTACCCAGTGAAAGAGATGGACCCAGTGTAAGGGACCGTGAATGCATGGATGGAGAATTAGGCGTTGTTAGGCAGCCCTATTTGGAAGGAGAGAAACAAAAAATTTCATCAACAAGATAGCTCCTCTGCACCACATCTTAACACAAAGCAACAGATCCACCCACTCATGCTTAAAATCCCCATTTTCATTTTGCAAGAAAAGTTACACCACTGCATGACAAATGACTGCTGTAAGGTTTATTTTCTTCATTTGGAAATAACAGTAGACTTTTTAAACCTCTAAGAACACTTAGCAACTAGAGTGATTTAATATTTCCATCCCACCAGCAGGTATAAATTAGCCTCTTAAAATTTTTAGCCTGTCATCAGAGTGAGCTCTCAGACACTGAATAAAGAAGAGAGTGGATGAAGAAATGTATTTTAATGGTGCATAAACACCATAGCCTCTGCCATCCACAAAAGTACCTCACATAATGCCAGTTTTGACTTTCTCCTAATATTCTAAGTTTCTAACTTCCCCAAGTTGTTTTTTAAGGGATGGCATAGGTTAAGCAATATACTCTGAAGTTGCTTTTGGTCATTGATGCCAGAGAGATAGATGCTAAAGAGCAGAAATTAATTCCAACCAGCACACTAACCCAATGCTCTCAAGGTCAATCTCTATCATGGGCTGAAGCGTCTCCTTAGGGTCTACTTCACCGAAAAAATAAAAGGATCCATGTAGAAAGAGGACTAGAAAGCTAGCATTCTAAAATTTCAAACAAAAACAAAATGGCAGCCATAGCCAACAGTAAACTCTTTCTTGCTATACTGACCAATTTTCTTCCATAACCCAAGTAATCATGGACTATTACACAGTCACTGCAGAAAAGAGTGAAGCCATAGACCCTGGAGACAGAGCCTGGGCTTGATTTCTGGCTTAACTACTCATAAGCTATAAACGACTTTTAGCAAGTTTTTAATTTCTCTTGCTACAGGTAATCAATTTCCTTTAACACTAGGTCCTATATCACAAAGCTATCAGGAATTAAATAGGTAACTTTATGTAAAAATCATCAACAAGATAAGCAATCAATGTGTGTTAGCTATGATGATTATTTTGTAATTGCTTACTCATATCTCCCTTAACTCCAAGCCCCGTTAAAATGTGAACTCCATGCAGACAGTAAGTAGCTCTCATCTTTCCTTCAGTCTCAACAGTTCTTGCAGCCTGTCTGGCATATGAGCTCACACTAGTCAGAATGAATGGCTGGTGTTGAGCCTCTGAGTGAATCTGCTGTAATGTTTTACATAATAAACTTGGGCATAAGAATTCAGGTGTTAAATGGGTTCTCCATATTTAAATTAAATATATAGTTGGGTGTGAAGGTGCATACCTATAATCCCAGCCCTCTAGGGGCTGAGGCAGGATGATTACACAGTGAGTTCCAAGCCAATTTGGTCTACAGAGAAAAATCTTGTCAACAACTAATAATAAATAAATAAATGGTTTTTTAAATCACAGTAAGTAATAACCACAACCCATTACTTATTCTAAGACATAAATGCTATGTACGATTCAGTTTCCTGAAAAAAAATTTTGAGACTCAAAGTTTTTATTTTTACCTTTAAAGTAGTTGTACAGAGGGGTTTCATTTCAACATGACAGTTTGTGAGTACAATTAATCTTTGTCAATGGTCCCCTTTCATCATTATCCATCTCTCCCAACTCATTCATCCCCTCAATTGACCTAGTTTCATTACTGTGTATATGCATAGAATATTGACTGTCTTCACCCACCCTTGTTCTCTCCACGACCTCATCTCCCACCGACAACATAACATCATCATCACATACACAATTTTCACAGGAAACAGGTGAGGGATGGTATGGAAAATAATCCAACACCAAGAAACTCTGCAATGCCTGTGGAAGCTTCTGGAAAAATGTAAGTCATTCCCTAGACTTGAGTTCTGCAGCCATTCTAAGCAAACACATCCATGTAAAATCAACTCCATTACATTGATTTTCCTCTACCCTACATCCACCTCCATAGCAACCAGGAAGACTCAAAGAGACAGGCAAGACTAAATGATTAGCAGGATCCAGATGACTAAATAACGTGCATGAAGCAGACCGGAGAAGCTCGCTCATCCACAGCACTGTGAAGGAATCATTGCTGGATGGCTGGTTTATTCAAATGTCCCCAAATTCAGAGGGAGTACAACACCTACATTTCCTTGTCCACAGTCCCTCAGCATGTAACCAGAAGCAGATACTGAGATCCTACATACCGCACATTCATGATAGGGAGGCTGGCTATTACTGTGACATTCTGGGGAAAATACTCCTACACCTTGTCACTACCCAAGAATCCCTGCTCAGAGCAATGCATTGCACACTTTACATCTAATTGCTTCTCTTCTCTCCACCCAGCCCAGTCACGTACTTCTAGTTCCTCTTATCCTCAGTCCTCACCACAATACTACGTGTCTCCATGATCCCACCACAGGACTGGCTGTGAACTTACTTCTTCTCTTTAAATGCCCTGAGTGTGAAGTTCTGTGTATACTTCCATAAAGGCTTTTTATAAGACGCTTATTTAGATTGATTTCAAGCTGTCATTTTGTAATCCTTCTTCCTTCATTAGCATTCTAGTATCTTGGATTATCAATTCCAAAGGTAAGGATTAAAAATGGACTTTATAGTAGAAATGGGGAAACTTTCATTTAATTTGAAGTGCTTGCAGTAAGAATAAGAGAAAGCACCCAGTACATTTCTATCCTATTACATGTAGTCTAATACGTGTAGTGTTCTTCTCTACCAAGCATTTTGGTTGAAAAGTAACTTCAACAGAGCCACTGTGAGATGAACTTTAACTGGAAAAGCCAGGAATCCCAGATGAACTCCACCCTAGAACTCCCAGAATTTCTCCCACTGATTTTGGTAAAATAAATTCTTTTTTTTTTTTTTTTTGGTCGGCCGTGGGGCTTAAACTCTGGGCCGGGGGCCGTCCCTCAGCTCTTCAGCTCAAGGAGAGCGCTCTACCACTTGAGCTACAGCAACACTTCCGGTTTTCTGGTGGTTTATTGGAGATAGGAGTCTCATGGTCTCTCCTGCCCGGGCTGGCTTTGAACCGCGATCCTCAGATCTCAGCCTCCTGAGTAGCTAGGATTACAGGCGTGAGCCACCAGCGCCGGGCAGGTAAAATGAATTCTGACTAAATAAATCTGTTAGCATCTCCGCTCCACTCCACACAGTTAACAAACATCCCTTCCTTGGCTTTCACATCCCTATGAAGGCCAATTTTCAGTATCTGGTAGACCTTGGTCACCAAATCCTCTCCTTAAATCTTTACTCAACAGTGTTCAAATCACCCTTCAATACACAGGCAGTCAAGAATACTTGTGATTTATCTCCTGACTTCCTTTCTTTCCCCTTCACAGAATTTGCAAGATGGTGAAGAATGTCTATGTTGTATTCATAAATGGCTTTGTTAAATGGCAACTCTGTACAACTACTTACAGAGAAATTGAAATGTAAAAAGGATTTAGAAAACACTCCAAAGTAATGTTGGAGGAAAACATCATGAGGTATTGGGTAGCCTTTAAAATACTGAGTCTTTTCAACATTCAATAACATGGGAAACCAATCATCTGTTCCATGTGGTCTGGAATCAGGAGAACTTGGGCCCCTCCTCTTATTCTAACTTCCTTGGTTGGCTCCTGCTACAGAGAGGCAAAGTGCCATGAGTGATAGAGCACTGCCTGCCTCCAAGAGGGATTTCATTTCCTATTTTTGGTTCAAACAGGTCATCATTTCTTAAAAAATTGAGTCCATTTTATGTAGAAAAGTGAGCCTTGTCTTCCTCCAAAGACTGGTACCAAAGTCTACAGAGTTCAGTCATCACAATCTTACCTGACTTCCTCAGGAGTTATAAATACAGATAGATAAATTTTGAAGAAAAGCAATGGGTAACAGAGAAGAGTAGCAAAGCAAAGTCAGCCTCCTACCTCAGGCTTCATGGGACTTTGGTTCGTGGGGTATAAACTTCCCCCCAGGAAGGAAGCAGCTATCAGGAGACAGGAGAATCCAATGAGATTCTACTGTAAGAGCAAACATAGCACCCTATCCCTTTACTGTAATCAGCACAAGCCAGTGAATTTGCTTACTGCATTCAGCCTAAGATGCCAACAATCTGATCCTATCTTACATATATCTCCGGGGAGGGAGGAATAAGAGGAAAGTAGCAATTTTAGGAGCCGATTGTTATCTCAAAATGGGACCATCAACTTGCTCAACAGTTGAGAGTTCTACTTCTGAGTTGAATGCATAAACACACACACACACACACACACACACACACACACACACACACACACACACACACACACACACACACACACACAGAGTTTGTTTCTTTTGTTTGAAAATTACTCTATCAGGGAGTTGCAGTTTTCTCATAACCCTGGCATACTATACTGCTTATCAGGACAAGGACCAATTATGAATACAGCTGCTATAACATTTGTGTGGGGGTTTTTTTGGTTTTTGTTTTTTAATTTATTTTTAATGGTTTTTTTAATTGTAAAAATACTGTACAGAGAGGTTACAGTTACATGAGCAAGGTAATGAGTACATTTCCTATCAAGCATTGTGTGTTTTTGTTTGAAAATTTGTTTTCAGATCTTCTCTGTAAATATCTAGGAGTAGAATTGGGGGATCACATGATAATACTTTGCTTAACTTATTAATAATGTAGTAAAGTGCTTTTCACATAACTGAACCATTTTATATCCCTACTCATGATGCATGAAGGTTCCAGTTTCTCCTTTATCCTAACAAACATTTATACTTTGTTAAGCATATGGAAGCCAAATGTAGCATGCCTGTAATCCTAGAAAGATAATTCTCCTGAGAGAAATATAAGACTGACTCAAGTTTGAGGCCAGCCCAGGCAAAGTTAGTGAGGTCTCATCTCACCCAATAAGCTCTGTATGGTGGAATGTACCACACCTGGCATCACAGCTATGCATAAATGCATGTATTTATGCATAGACTTAAGTCTATGCATAAACTGAGTGTTTATGCAAAGAC